CCTACACGAGCCAACCAGTGTTACTAAAGGTGTGAAAAAACAAACACCTCTCTCTACCATCATCTTCTCTCTCAGAAACCCACGAAACAAGCGCATTAGCCAATTCAGTGATCCTCTTCTCCACTCTCTTCCCAAAATCAAAACAAAGCAACTCTCTCATTTCAACGACAAACGTAACAGCATGAATCCCTCTTGAATTATACCATTCCACGTACTTTTTGAGATGTTTCTCTCTAGCTCCAAGCCAGCCAAGCAGAACCACAGTCGCAACTGGTTTTTCGTCACTAAAGACACTACCTTTACCGCGAACAACACTCTCTGGTGCTTTGTTCCACGTAAAAGGCCTCTCATTTTGATGAGATTTGAAGTTAAAATCAGACTTCTTGGTGGGGTTTGAGAGATGAGAAGAGGAAAGCGAGAGGAGGAATTTAATGGGGTTTGGATTCGGAGTAACGGGTGAGTGAGAGAACGGTGAAAATGAAGAGTGAATGCGAGAATGAGACAATTTGGGTGTTGATATGATGTGGGTCTGGACATTTTGTCGTTGTGAGGGTATCGATCGATGGATTATTGAAATGGGTTTTAGAAAATTTGAAGTTGATGTTGGTTTAGTGAAGAGACTGCGATTGATGACCCTTGCAGGAGCTTCCATGGCGGAAAATTCGGTCCGGTTGAGGGGTGGATCTTTGAAAAAGAACGGGGGTTTTGTCTTTGTATTCCCTTTTATTTGTCAAACTGTTAAAGACATTTATTTGTACGGAACATTTTAGATGCCTCTTAAACCGTTTGTTGATAAATTAATTTTTTTATTATTTTAAATTAACTTTTTTTTACTTTTTTAAATATTTTATTATATCATATCAAAAATAATTTTTAAAAATTAAATATTATTATTTAATATATTTTTAAATAAAAAAATTCAAAAAAATAACCATAACTAAACTATCAAACATACTCTAAATATTTGAATCCAAGTTTTAAAATATTTTTATTTTAAATAATAAAATAATATTTTTTTTATTTTAAAAAACTTGTTATTAATATTAGTATATTAAAGTAATTTAAATATATAAAATAATTTTAAAAATATTTAAATTTTTGTAAAATGTTATTTGATCTTATTTTCAAAGAACACCTAAATTACCAGTATTTGATTAATATTATTATAAAAAATATTTTTTATTTGACCTTGTTATCAAAAATAATTTTTTTTATTTTTAATAACAAAACATTAAAATAATTAAAAATTACTAAAAATAACATCAAATTAATATATTCTTAAAATAAACACACAACCTTTAAAAGCTTACAAGCGTTACTCTAGACGTGCAAGTTTCCCCCGTCAACTTTTGTTTATTTTAATATTTTTTATTCACCGCCCGAGCTTGGTGGATTGATTTGAAAAAATAGAATTTGATGCATAATTCCAGTCAAGTAGCTAGTTGAATTAGTCAAGCTTTAAACCTGACAGAACACGTGGACCCAAACCAGCTTTTAATTATTCATTATAACTATAATTACAATTACAAGATAATCCAAAACACATGGGTGTAAATAATGTACTGAATTCATTGTTCGTGACACTGTTTATAGTCAATTTTTCCCTTAAAGAATTTTTATGTTTTGCAATTTGATTATTTTATTTGATTATTTGAAATTGTATTTTCATTATTGTTTGTTTTGGGATTTTTTGATCTGCATGTTCTATTATAGAAGATGCTGATATTAAATTAAAAATCAATATTAAAAAATAAATTTTTTAGACATAGTTAAAAAAATAAAACAATAAGGGACAAGATTATGACAACAAAAATATAATTATTTTCATTTTTATTATTCAAAGGGAACAAAAAACTTTGGTTTAGTTTTTTAATTTTAGTTTTTCTATATTTGATCCATGTTGTTTTAGAAATTTACATTATGATTCTAAATTTCATTTTAAATCGTTTTAATCCTTACATGTTAAGAAAGAAGAAAGAATGTTATCAAAAAATAAATGGAAAAGAGAAAGTGTTTTTTTATCATAAAAAAAATTAAATCTTGATATTAATTTGTTTATTTTAAATAAAGAAGTTTAATTGAGGTAATTTTATTTTTTAATCAAGCAAAAAAAAAAAGAGTTTGGGGCTTGTAAAGTTGTTTTTAATTAGGTTTGATTTTTTTTTAAATGATTTTAGATATCTTGATGTGGAGAATGAGTCAATGGAGTTCACATAATTTTTAGGTTTTTTATTTTAAATAATTTGAAAATAAATTAGAGGATGTCACATTAGATATTATATTGTTTTTATTTTTAAAAAATAGTAAATAACATATTATTCACTATTTTTTTATATATTTATTAAAAAGAACATAAGCGTGCAGGCCTAGATTTCCAAGCCAGGAAGTACATTAACCTTTTCATTTTACGTTAGTCATGCAACCTTGTCCTTTCAAGCTTAGCAATACATGTTTTTTTATAATTTTATTTTTATTTTGTTAATTCAAATTTTGATTAATATCATCTCTCATTTTTAAGAGAAATTATTTTTTATTTATGGTTTTTAAAATTTTATAAAATATCAAAGAGATTATCGTAATTTAATTGAAAGTCTCTTTCTCTTAAGTTTTAAGTGGATGAGTTATATTTGTATGATGATTTATAAGAACAACAATCATGTGTATTTAACAACCCCAATAAACCTCCAAGCTAAATAAAAAATATATAAAATAAAAAGAATAATCAAGGTAAAATATTTGTATGTACATCTAACTTTTATTTTTTATTATAAAGATTAATTTCCTATTTTAGTCTTTAATTAATATTCATAATTTTTTTTTAAGATTTATCATTTTATATATTTTTTCAATTTATTATCTTAAACGCAGCATCATTTTTCTATTCTTCAATTACATAAATTTTATAATACTATAAAACATATCAATAATATTAACTCTGATGTAGAAATGATGGCTTTTTAAAAACATGATGTAGAAATGATTCATTGCAAATAAACAGCACCGATGCGAGTTTGTTTGATGATTCAATGATGAAATGTGTTGATTCAGCAAGAGATGGCATTGACTAAGAGCACTAACAAAGGTAGGCGACGACTGTTTTGGATGCTCTGGTGAGCGGCGAAGAGGAATGACAGGCAATGTTTCATGAGAAGGGGTAAAGAATGAGGAATCATTGCAGGGTGTTAAACATGGCATTTGAATATCGATAATAAGGCGATCATTGCTTGAAGAATATTTATGATTTCTCTTTGCTTATGGAGTTATATATGAATCATGGTAATTTTTCAGCCTCGGAAGCCTTACTGCTTTGTCTGCAGCAGTGGGTTTTCCTGAGCAAGTTGTTGGACTTGCACTGCTAAATTCTGCTGGTCAGTTTGGAAATCCAAACGAAAAAACGAATGAGCCTGAAGAATCAATCTTGCAGGAAGTTGTACTGAAGCCTCTGAAGAAGTTTTACAGCGTGTAGTTCTTGGTTACTCTGGGGGTGACTTGGATCCATGGGTATGTCCTTCGAAGGCCAATCAAATCAAAAGGTTCTGCCCAAATAGAAATCTAGTAAACTTACAGGCTGGTCACTATCCACATGATGAAGTTCCGGAGCTTGTTAATAGGTCACTAAAGGATATGTGAAACCAGAAGCCTCTCTGCAGACATTGTAAACTTGACCAAATTTTGCAGCTTTACCGCTAACATTTGCTTCAAGGTATTGCTTGTAATGTAATTATACATTCATTAATCAAAGTGCCCGATTAAAGTTTCCTTTGCGAGTAGTTCTTAAGACATGGTTTTTACAGACTGTTTCGGATAACAGGAGAGTTGATTTGAACAAGAAAGTCATCATTTCATGGTCAGTGCAGCTGCTCCTTGTCAACACCAGATCATGTTGGAACAAGCTGTTGATTAAATTAAACTACTCTTTGATTGTTCTATCCTTTAAGTAAATGAATGCGACCTTAAGGCCTACTATAAATCTTTGACAATTCAAATTATGCTCAAACATCACACAGGAATTATGTTGTAGCAAAATCCAGAAACATTGGGTTTCCGTTGCTTACCAGCTACAACAGTGTATGCTCAGGCATTTTGAGGGATGAAGCAAAATTACACCTTTTTGTTACCTGGTTTCTAGAGCGAAGTTATATAATAAAAACACGTTTGGGCTACTGCATCTGATAGTGAAGTGTATTGTACAGTTTCCCTGTGCCAGAACTTTGACAGGCAGTTCATGCATTAGGTGTATGATCCAAATTGATGTGATAATAATAGGATAAGTTTGTGCAGATAAAACCAAAGATAGTTTCACCTTCTATTTTTTTGGCATAGCTGAGCCATCACATTCATCAAATAATCTAAGCAAAATTAACATAATGGAAATTCAGTCGAAATCACAGAATATGCTTGACAAAGAATATGATGTTGCAATCTAAAGGAAATCCTCAAAGAATATGATGGGGATGAAATCCAATGGTAGTTAATGCTACAAAGCAAATGATGAGATTACAGGATTGAAATGAATTTGAATTTTGTTTCCTGTCCTAAACATAGAAAATTTTGCTATTTCAGCAACTAAAGTCAACACTCCTTCCAGATATGCAAAATTCTTTTCGTCCAGCAGGCAGCCAGAGAGTAAAGAGACAAATGATGAGAGGACAAAAGTGCAAAACATTCTAGTTGGAAAGCTTAGATTTTACAGGAAACAAAAAAAATCCTAGGTTGTAAATTTGCTGTCTAAAACGTGAAATAGAACGCCTCCAAGCATTGTCCTTACCGATGTTCCAGCTTTGTAATCATCGAATCTTAAATTTTAGCACCTTTCTGCATTCCTTAGTGTCAGTCTCCTCCTTAGATTCCATACCTTTTTATCTGTCTCAGCATCGAAATCCTTCGTGTTCTTGGGAATTTCGCGTTGTTTTTTCTTGATTCCTACACTTTCCAAGGCTATTTGGAAGAGAGACATTTTTTTTTCATACTGAAAGTTCCTGAATTCTTGCTCTCAAACAATGAGCACAGAGGAGAATGGTTCGACTAGATATAGAGGCCCTCATCCTCACCTTGTTAATGTCCTGAAGCAAAGGCGTAGTGGGTATGAGCCATCAGATACAGAAACTGATTGGCAAGATAGTCCAACGCGTGATCAGAAAAATGGAGCTTTTGGTCCTGAGAGTCCAATTCAGTTAGATTTACCAAGAAATGTCAGCCCTTTGAAAAACAGCAGGAGATTTTCTTCAAGATTTGATGATTATTCTCCAAAGAAGGACTCTGTTTCCAGTCCTCCTCGAAGGAGGCACAGCAGCAAGTCGCCCTACAAGCCACAAAGAGATAATCGTAGTGCTGAACCTATCCCAAATCAGAGAAATGTCGATCCCTTGTTAAGAAGACAAATTTCCCCATATAAGGCACAGAGAGATGAAGGTGGTTCTGTTTTACCTACATCAAGTCGGAGAAATCTTGATAACTTGTTAAAATCTGAGTCAGGAAGACAAGTTTCTCCTTGCAAGGCACAAAGAGAAGAAGGTTGTACTGTTTCACCTGAATCAAGCCAGACAAATGTAAGTTCCTTGTCAAAACTAGACCAGAGAAGACAAGTTTCTCCCTACAAGGCACAAAGAGAAGAAGGTGGTGCTGTTTCACCTGAATCGAGCCAGAGAACTGTAAGTCCCTTGTCAAAACCAGACCAGAGAAGACAAGTTTCTCCCTACAAGGCACAAAGAGGAGGTGGTGCTGTTTCACCTAAACCCAGGCAGAGAAACGTTAGTCCCTTGTCAAAGCCAGACAAAGGAAGACAAATTTCTCCTTTTAAATCTGGGAGAAAGGAGCATGGTATGCATGAAGATGGTGAGATTGTAAGCTCCAACAGAAGGAAAAATCAAAGGATGCCTACTGGAGAAGAAAGGAGCACTCAATTACAATTTGACGAAGACAGTAGATTGAGTGAGAGGCAGAATGCTAGTCGAAGAATGACAACGGCGCCAAAACAAAGGGCCTGGGACAAGGAACAGGTAAATAGTCATGATCATAAAGAGCAAAAGGGGGGAAGAAGCCCATCACCTTTGTCAAGGAGCATGAGCCGTAGACAAAGGGAAAGAGAAGTTTCTCATACAAAAGCAGCTTCTGTTGGTGAACTGAATGAGATTGTTGCTAACATTAAGCTTTCTAAAGATTCTACGCTTAATGTTCCAAATTTTGAAAGCACGGAATCTATTTCTCCTGGTGATATCTTCTTTTCTGTTGACCAGACAGCTTTGGGGATGCAGAAGAATGGCATATTAAAGGACAACAACGTAACCAATTTGTACCTGAAACCCGCATCGTTTCCTCACATGGATTCTGTTCTTCTTCAGCGTAATAAAGTAAATGGTAATATCGATCATAACTCACAAAGAACTTCGACAACAAGTTCTGGTTCACGAATGACCATGACGTCAGCCTCTGCTGCAAGTAGGCAGAGCAGTAGCAAACTTAGCAGCGACAGTAGCAAGATAAGTGATGCAAGTGGTAGAACAAGTGGGAGCTTGAAGAAGTTCACCGAAAACCGGAAGAAAAAACAAACAGAAGCTTGGTTTTCTTGTTTGAAGAAGGGACCATGCAAGACCTCAAAATCACCTGGAAAAAAACGTTTTGATGAAGCATCATTCATCGAGAAGGCATTTGTGGTTGAAAGCTTGAGACAGTTTTGGGCTGATAAGCATCAACCCGGTTCATTGAATGGATTTACATGCCACAGACATGAAGCTCAAATTCTCGGTCAACTTGTAAGTTATTTCAGGATTGAATTATTGTTTTTCCTTTTATCTGCTTAGCTCAGGATGAATATGTTTTGAGGATCACTTGCATTCAGGCTTCTGCAAACTGCTTTATTAACTAAGCCATGTCGTTCACCGTTGCTAGTCTGTTTTACCAGCAGGCTTTGTTAACTCATTTTATGTATTACCATAGGTATCACATGACAGCATTCCTCACATTTTGCTGAAGGGACCATCCGGTTCTGGCAAAAAAGCGCTAGCAATGGCTCTGATAGGCGATATATTTGGTGATGCGTGTTGGCATGTATGTCCTTGGTTATCAGACACAATAACATTAAAGATCTTTCTCTCTTGAACAGTATTTTCGGATGCTTAAGTTAACTTAATTCACTGTTTTTCTTGCAGAAAACACATGATTTGAGATATTTCCAGGTTCGGTTATATGAGCACTCTTGTAGATTTGTCATCTCATATCAGCAGAACTGAAATTTTTAGAAGCTAGATATCTCTTTATTATTTATATTTTAAAATGAAGTTGGTGGAAAGTTGAAGATTCATCAATTACATTTAACTCGTTTTTAATCTTCTGGAGAATTTAGGGTTTCAGTGTTTTATACTTTCTTGTGGACAGGAACAAAGGGGAGCAGCACAGGTAGCGGTTCCAATAACATCCAGTGCTCATCATGCAGAGATCAATGTAAATTCGGAGCCAAATGCTAAAACTGCATTAATGGGTTTAGTGAAGGAAATAAGTAACACTTATGCTATTGCCCCTGATGTTAGCAACGTCAATTGTAAGCCAGATTATAAAGGTGAACTCTTTAAACATGAGCAAGATTGCCTTCCTGCTCAACAGTTTCGTTCATCCACTTGAAGCCAACTCTTTTGTCTTCTTTATTTCAGTATTAGTTCTTTATGAGGTTGACAAAGCACCAGAGAACATCCAGCCCTTGATAAAATGGATCATGGACTGTTACACAGATGCTTGTAAACTCATTCTATGCTGTGAAGATGATTCAGACATTCTGGAAACAGTAAAAAATCGGTGCAAAGTTTTGAAAGTTGATGCTCCTGTGACCCATGAGGTAAGAATGCTTCAATTAAAATCAGTGTAGTCACTGCTTGAATGAACTGATGATAAATAATGACAGTTTTTCTGGTCTACTTTATCCAGTTGTTCAGTACAAAGTCCAAAATTAAGATTTCCAAGCCCCTTAATCATGACCTTCATCAATACTTGAATACCTTTGTCCTACTGAATTAGTCTTGCTCAAATTAGGCCTTGCAAAAAAAATCTGTCTTAACTCTCATTTCTTGATTCAACCCCATTCCCAGATCATGGAGGTTCTCATTCAGATAGCAAGGAAAGAAGAGTTTGATCTACCGATGAACTTTGCAGCTAAGATCGCTGCCAAATCGAAGCAGAACCTGAGAAAAGCAATCATGGCTCTTGAAGCCTGCAAAGCACACAAGTAAGGACTTGAACTAATGAACATATTCAACTTCCAATAAATCTGTATAAAAAAAGGGCAGTGATAAATAGTAACACCAATAAATAATGTTTGTGGCAATCTTCTTCTGCAGCTATCCTTTTTCCGATGATCAACCAATTCCATTTGGATGGGAAGAGGTTTTGGTAGAACTTGCAACAGAAATCCTGATTGATCCATCACCTAATAAGTATAATTTATCCAACTGGGTAGCAATCAGAATTTACCATACTCAGTTTTCCTGATGAATGCTAACTATCCTTTTCTGCTTCTATGGATTTCTCAGATTGTTTTCAGCACGGGGAAAGTTGAAAAGGCTTCTTGTGGATTTTGTTCACCCCAAACTGATTCTCCTGGTGAGGCATTTGATATCTCTAGCCTGAAATAATTCAATTCACTATCACTACCAATAGTTTTCTTTTTTTTTATGTAACTGCTAGAAATATACATTTCTGATAGAGCTGCATCTCCAACAGAAATTGGTGGAGCAATTCCTGAAGGGAGTAGAGGCTAATTCAAGAAGGGAGCTTTATTATTGGCATGCTTATTATGTAAGTTCTCTTTACCATTTTGTTGGTCCTTTTCTTTTGGTTTTCCGGCTAAGTGGTCTTCAGGCTAGCTTCGGTGCGGCAAGACCAAGTCCAAGCTGTAATGCCGACTTGTCAACAAACTGAAAATAAACGAGGTTTTTCTTTACAGGATAAGAGGCTCCCAACAGGAACAACTGCTCTACTCAAATTAGAAGGTAAAATGGATAAACACTCTAACAGGATAATCATTTATAGTTTACACACACATAAAGATTCTGCAACTCATTGCAGCAACAACGTTTAGCATCATGTATATAACTCAATATCCAAATGGAAATTTTTGTTCTAAGCACTTGGACAGTTCATAGCCTAAATCATGCTCTTATTCTGCAGAATTTGTGGCCAAATTCATGAGCATGTACAGGAAGAGTTCTGGCACTCGTCAGTATGTATAGTGGAGCTGGTCTTTAGAAGCCCTTAGCCACATGCTTGTACCTACTTGTATGTCCATGGATGCTCAAGCTACACGAAGTACTTCAGATTTTTCCTTGATATTAATGCATCGTTTTGTTTTGCTTGATTATAACATGAAAGAAGGCAAAATTAGGTACATAATGTGCTGTTGTGTGTGTTGGTTTGACAAAAGAGGATCCAGAAGAACTGCTTGATAATCATGCAGCAAGCATCCCTAGACTTATTAACCTTAAGAGAAACATATATTCTTCTGCATTTTTCACGTCATAGTTGGAGATATATTTTTCATGTTCAATAATTTTTCAATTGTTAAAACATGTACACACTCATTAAATCCAGTATAAAAACCCACAACAAAAGTAGAATGTTTTCTGCCAAAATCTCCTCTTCTTCTTCTTCCCATTCCATTTATCTAATAATTAATAACAATTTCTAACAAACTTGGATCAATGAGCATTAATTATTAACATTAATAATAATAATAATAATAATAAGGAAGGAAGGGAAGTTACTTTAACAAAGAAACAATTGAAGGAGGAGTTCGGGGAAATGGTCTTCTGACCATGTCACAATGTCATTTTTAAATTGTTTGATGGTAGATTAGTTTTTTCATCTTTTAGAACACTTAAATTATTTAAACGCCCCTAGAGCAAAGAAAAGATGTTTTACATGAAGGGGCTATTATGTCTTTTTATTTTTTTGTTAAAGTTAAATTACTTTAATCCCCTCTTGGTTCAAAATTAACAAAACTACTTTTTTTATCTTTTCATCATGATTTTTTATAAAAAAAATTATTTCAACTTAACTTGGAGTGTTTTTGTATTTTTAATAATTGTTAAATATTAAAAAAAACTTATGACACGAGCTAGAAAATAAGTGACAAGTGAGGGGCTATTCTATTACCATACTTCACCTTCCACCGAAGCCTTTTCTGTAATAGGGTTTTGAGACCTTTTCATTAATGTTAAATCTCCTTGAATTTAATTTTAATTTAACTTAGAGTGTTTTTGTATTTTTAATGAATGTTAAATTGCCTTGCTGAAATCAAGAGTAGCATTAAAAGTAGATCAATTAGTAAAGACAACGAGTACTATTGGAGTATCAGATAGGCCCTTTTCACCTTATCCCATTTAAAATTTTAAAAATCTCACGAGTTTTATCTTATTTTTTTTAAATTATAATAATAAAAATAAATTTGAAAAAAAATATATAAAAAAAGAGGAATCTTGTATGATCTTATTTAAATAGAAATTGATATTCTAGTAGGAAAAAAAATTCAATTCAAACCAAATCAAATTATTCAATTATTTAAAGATTAAATAAATATTAACAGATTTAAAGGATGTTTCATACATCATGAAGACAATAGTTTAAAAACTATTTATCAATGTTAATTAATAATGTTAATGGACTCGTAGGATGTTCGATGCTTAATATGGTATGGCAACAATAACAAAGAAAACAATGATCAATGTTGGTTAATAATGTTGATAGATTAAAAAAATATTCGATACTTAGTACATCATGATGATGATAACTAGGGCATCGATGTTGGTCGATAATATTTATAGGCTCGAAAAATATTCAATACTTAATATGTCATGATGATAATAGCAAGAAAATGATAATCAATATTGATTGATAATTTTAACAAATTCAAAACATTTTGATGATTAGTATATTATAATAATGGTAGTTAAGAAGATGGTTATTAATATTGTTTGATAAAAAAAAAAAGTTGATATGACAATGAAAAAGAAAGGAATGTGTTCTAATACTTACAATTCTTGTTGATTATGATTAAAAAAACAAGTAAGAAGTTTGTTGGGTAATCTAGATGATGATTGTATGAAAAATAATTTGAAGATTAACCTATGTTGTCGTCGGTTTTTTTTATATTTTTTTAAATGATTTTTTTAAAAAAAACTTTTTTATATTTTTTTAAATGATTTTTTTTAAAAAAAATTATTCTTTAATATAAAGTTAGTTGAGGATACTTCTTAATGTTTTTTTTATTTTTTTTCTATGAAGTTATTTTAATCTAATATCCCAGAACACAAATTTATTAAGTTAACTTGGATTAACTTGAGTCATTTTCTTATTGTTTTTTTTAAATTAATTTTTGCAATTTCTACTTTTAACATTAAGTTAGTTGATACCTAAACTATAATTTTATTCAATTTGTTTTCTATATAGTTATCCTGGTTTCATGTCCAAGTCATGAATTTAATATACTAACTCAAGTAGGCTTAAGTCGAAGTTTTTTTATTCCTTTTTAATTATTATTTTTAAATATTTAATTTGTTTAGAATTATGAAGTTATTTTAATCTAATATCACAGAACACAAATTTATTAAGTTAACTTGAATTAACTCGAGTCCTTTTCTTATTGCTTTTTTTTAAATTGATTTTTGTAATTTCTACTTTTAACATTAAGTTAATTGATACCTAAACTTGATAATTTTATTCAATTTGCTTTCTATATAGTTATCCTGGTTTCATGTTCAAGTTATGAATTTGATATACTAACTCAAGTAAGCTTAAGTCGAGGTTTTTTTATTTTATTTTTAATTATTATTTTTTTAATTTTATTTTTAAATATTTAATTTGTTTAGAATTAAGCTTTGAGATTTTTTTTTCATTTTATTTTTTATAAAGCTACTATGTTTTCATTTAAGTTTTGCTTCATTATCAAATATAATTATTAAGATCTTTTAAGAATATTTGGAGGACATCTTTCTATGGTATTAATTTTTAATTGATTTATATCATTTTTTTTGTTTTATTTATTTATTGTCATTATATTTATTTATAATATTAAATTTATTAAACTCAACCGAGTTAATAATTTGAGTCCCAATAATTTTTTGTCATTTTTAAAATGATTGTAATGTCTGGACATTTTCTTTATATTAGAAAGAACTTAACCCGGCTTCCGGTTTAGCGTGGCCATCAACCTAGTATATACCAAGACTTCTTTATTTGTGTGTCTCTTCCAAGAAAAAGCTATATATATATATATATATATATTCTACTTCACAAGTTATTTTTTTCTCC